AACTATTTGCGACACCATGTAGAGTACTGTTTCATAGCAGAAGCATAATATGTTGGTGAAGATTAATGGAAGCAGTCATGAAAATTGGAGGTGTAGTGTCTTTTTAGGTGCAAAAAGAGTGGTGAGGAGAATTTTGAGCCATCTGGTATGGGTAGTTACGGTTTTGAAATCTGATAATCTGTTTTGGTGCATTCTAAGCTAAGTATCTTCTTTTATTCATCCTTTTGTTTTCACAAGAATTTTTTTGAATAAAAGGATTTTGCTGACAAATAAACAACGATTCTTTCTGCAGGTTCTTCTCAGAGGACCAAAGAATGCTCGTGAAGCTGTGAAGCACTTTGGACCTGCGCCTGGTGTGCCTCACAGTCACACCAAACCCTATGTACGATCAAAGGGTAGGAAATTTGAGAAGGCTAGAGGCAAAAGGAACAGCAAGGGTTTCCGTGTTTAAGAGTTGCAAAACGAGTCATCTCCCTGTTTTCAGTTGTGTTTTTCTCACTTTGCGTTATTGTTGGACCTATTATGTTATCAATAGCTTATCATCATCTATATTTCCATTGTTCCCTAAGACTATTTTAGCTTTTGAGAGGAAGATATTTAGATGTTTGAAGGATTAATGGATACTTGCAGAAATGTATGGTAGATGTTGAAGATTTTGTTTAATTCGATTTTGGTTTGATATTAGTACTTTTCTCTCCCTCACTCATCTTCATGCATGCAGCAACAAACAAATGTTAAATAATATTTTGATTTAGCCCATCGACCACTAGAAGCTATCCGCATTTCTGAAAATGAAATCAGTGGCTCCTTGAAAATTAATGAATTGCTGATGGTAAAGTTGAACCACTCTTATATTGTAATTTGTAAGGGCTAATAAATAAGCCCTCGCTTCTAACTTATTACTAGAATTGTTACATGACTTGTTCATAGAATTATTACATTACACAAAATGAGGCTTGCAGCATGATCACATTGATCAAATGATAGAACAAGCTCTGCATTTTATTATTACATAAGCAAACCCTAAGGACGAAAATCTCAAACAAGATTCAACATGAAAGCGAGGTTCGATAATGTCGCACTGTTTTTTAGACGTCATCATACGGTTCTGTAGCCAAACTTATTGAAGTAGCAACTGCGAAACAAACATAGCGGGCTAACAAAAATCAGAACTTCTTGATGAAGTCATATACGTGCTGACTGATTTCGTCGGGCTTTTCTTGGTTAATAAAGTGAGCTCCATCTTCAATCACAATCACCTCCTGCAAAAATGGCACATCTCTTTTGAAGCCTCCATTATGTATATAGTCCTTCACGCCTGGGATATGATAGGTGATGTCCAGGTCGCCCACAATAAACTTGACCGGTACTTTGATCTGTAGCCCTGTCCATGGTCCTGTAAGCTCCCAGGTTCTGCAACCAAGAAGAAAATACTTAATTGGAATATGCATCCAACCCATTTCAATACAAACAATTTTGCTCAAGCTACTAAAATGTCATCTGATTGCTGATCTCTATCTCAAAATTTCTGTCAAGAAATTACCTTCCCAATCTGAGAAAGACTATGTATTGAACATATGATAACCAATTCAAAGGGAAAGGGGTAGGTACGTACAAGTTCAAAGCTCGATAATAGTTCAATCCACCAACAAACCCCGTCTTGCTGAATTTGCTGACAAAATAATTAACGTCCTCTTCTAACAGCCAAGGGGGCAAGGTTTCTGGAGTTTTCCAAGCTCTTAATCCTACTCCTTTAGGTAGGCATGGAGGTTTTGGATTGCGACCAGTAAGAAACTTTTTCATTATTGATGCAGTATCATAACCAGCAAATTCTTTTTCGATCTCCCCAGGTTCCTACAGCACAGCATTCCTCAACAAAAGGATTTGATGCATATATATATATATATATATATATATAAGGATTTGAGTAACAAGAGCTATGCCTCAACAAAATCACCAAGAAACAAATAGTCCCTAACAATGAGCTCAAACTGAGGCTTAAATTCATTAATCTCAAACGGTATTGAGCCGTCGAATTTGTCATTGGGTGTACCGTGTAGCAACGAAAAAGATCTGAAGAAGAGAAACCCTTCTTATTAAGTTGTCAAACAAACAAGTTAAGTTATTAACAAAGTGGCAAACCTCTGGTCAAATTACCCAAGTCTGGTTTTGAAGGACGGATCTCTGAGAACTAAAAGGAAGGGGTGTGGGTTGCGCCCAAGGAAGGGGTGTAGGTTGTGCGGTTGTAATAATAGCCTAAAAGGAGGTGGTTGTGCAGACTGAATACATCATTAATGAGAACGAATACACCCAATGTGAGTATAATAAATTCAACAGTTAACAGCAAATATATAGATAAAACAGCCAAACGTTTTCTGAATGCATAACCTTATCCGCACTGTCAAATTCAAGTATAATACATCTTTCAATTCAGATTGAAGTTATACTATCTTGGGGAATATTCAGATTAAGCAATCTCCACAAAAAATCAATCAATTCATAAATGAGATGTGAACATGGAAAAGAAAAGAAGCAAAGCAAAAAAAGAAGAGAACTTGTTGTTGTAGAATAGAGCAGTGAATAATTCAGCAAAGGGGAGCCAAAAAAAAGGCAATTGGAATCTGACCCAATAAATATCATATACTGAATCACAAAAAGATTGAAACTTTTCAATCAGATCGAAAAGGAAATTAAAAAAATTGAAAGAATGTGATTTACCTGGAACCTGCAAATATAGTAATCATCACCAAACAAGGCCCTGAGACCATCGACAGGCTTTCTCTTTGGGTTCCTGGGAGTGAAGGCCACACTCATGTTGACCAAGGCCTTGACCCGGTCAGGCCTGAACAAGCAGAACCACCAGGCAATGACGGCGCCCCAGTCATGGCCGACCAAGAATACTTGGTCAACACCCAGATGGTCAAGGAGGCCAATGAGGTCACCAACTATGTGCAGCGCCGAGTAGGAGGCAGCGGAAGGTGGTGCGTCGGTGTCACCGAAGCCTCGGAGGTCAGGGGCTATGCAACGGTAGCCCAAGGATGAGAGAGAAAGGAGCTGGTGGCGCCATGAGTACCAGAGCTCCGGGAATCCATGGAGGAAGAGCACAACTGGGCCTGTACCGATTGACGCTATGTGCATGTTTATGCCGTTTGTTCTTACCGTTGTGTGCTCAATTTTCTCCATCTCTGTTGACTCTCTCTGTGTGTGCCTTGGTTTCGCTGTTTCTTGCTCTGTTACGCTTGGTCTTGTTATTGTTATGTGGTGGGTGTGTATATATATATAATATATAGATAGAGAGAGAGAGAGACGTGTGACGTGCTGCTTCTTCTCGGTTACTGAGAGAGAGTCTTGTATTTTTCTATTGGTTGAAAGGATGGACACAACAAAATAAATTGTCTTTTTTTTTTTTTTTCATCTAATTTTAGTTTCAGTTTAATGAGTGCGCACCCAAGTGATGGAAATTTGTGATGGCAATTTGATGATAATTTTACAAATCAGGCACAAAATGTTCACCGCAAAATACTTCACAGAGTGCTTCTTTTTAAGCATATATATGCATGTGATTATGGGAATTATATATAAATATTTTAAATTAAAACAATTAAGAGTAGATGTAGATCCAAAATACATATTCAATTTTCAACAACGGTACTGTTTCCAATAGTTTCATGGTGAGGAAGGCACGTTCATTCCAATCCAAGGACATGGATCTGCAAATAATTGTGCAGTTTCGTCGTTCAAAGTTTCAAACAAACAATGGTACACTGTACGCATTGATAAAGATAACATGCATGGGTGAGTTCAGTTGTGTTGTATACCTACCACTCTTGCGCCTTTGTCTGTTTCATTAAATTCCAATTGAAATATGTCATTTGCATATATGAGTTAAGTTAGTTGAACCTAAAACAGAATATGCGTTCATTTTCACCTTATTCTAATTCGGTCCACTCCATATAAAATGGAAAAAAAAACACCAATAATCATTAACATTATTAAAGAGAGTACCATATCTAAGGAAGCAGGACTCTGCATCGCCATCACTAAGCAGTTGTAACACATTGATTGAGTTGAATTGAATGCACGATTCGACATTTCAAGATGATTTTTTGAGAGCAGGATTCTGGTTAGGTGAGAGTTGCAATACTCTACTGAATCATTATTGGGTGACCGCACACACATTAACTGGAATTGAATGCTTTGTTTGTTTATGGTGTTTCTTTTTGTGCAGGAAGGAGAAATTAGGTTCATGGGCCCATTTTCACTTAGTTCAGAAAGTGTATAGCCCCAATTAGAAATGGATAGGCCCAGCAGTAGGCGAGAAAGTGAGAGGGAGCTAAACTTTGGGCATCAAACCCACAGTTTGAACTTTGAATTGAAACAGAGTGCTTAAAATAAAAGCAGATATATAGATAGATAGATACTAGTGAGTGAGTGAATTAAGGTCAGAAACAAGTTGCATTGCATCATCATGTCATGGAAATTTGATTTGAGTGGGGGAGTGTGTGAAAGAAAGATGTGGGTTTATTTTGTTTGTTGCCTTGGCATCATGATTCTTTTTTGTTTTGTCATCTTATTTTATAAATAAATATATAGTTGTTGTTGGTGTGGATTAGGTAGAATATGAATGATTTCAATTCAAGCTGATGAAATGAAAGGCAAACTATTATATATATACCTCTGGTCGGTCCACTATTCTAGTTCTAGATCTGGATGCCAAATTGCCTATTCTCTTATCCTAAGATCCCTATTCTCTTCTCTTGTCTTGAATGTGGGGATGAGAAGTAAGTTTTTTTGGTTACATTGGAGGAAAGAAACCCCACTGGGGTTCGATCCTGGGTGCCATGGAGGGAAGGGGGAATCCACCACCACTGTGGTGGGAACCCATTGGCGATGAGAAGTAAGTTTGTTCATGTAACAACTCCACTAAAAATCCTGTGATTCTGAATTGAATTGGGTTTTATCATGTGTACTAGTAATAGTACTATGTGCATGTGATGGATGATGAGTTAGATTTCATCATTCTCCACCAACACCGACAAAGCAGATATAGAGAGGTTCATCAAATTCTATGTTTGCAGAGCTCATTCTAGTTTCCTGTTTGCTACTTATTTCTTAATCATCACTTTACGTAATACCTATCCATATACAGAATGCACAGCTCAGAGAGTACATAATACACGTACCCCAAACCAATTGCCTCGCCTCATAAAAACAAGGCACCACCACACACAAGACAAACCCAACTAGTCATAGGATAGGAACCTTCCTTCCCCTTCCACCATAATCTTCCGTTACAATACCAATAAAACCCACCTCTCCAACTCCAACTCAACTCGACACCCAAAACAGAAAACAAACACCAAAACCCTTCTCCTGACTCCATCATAATTTCTTATGGACATCACCAACAAATACAATCACCATAACCACAAATCCACCAACTATGCTGTCAGCGGTAAGATTATGCTCTGCTCAGTCATCCTTCTCTTCATCGTCATCTTCACCATCGCTTGCTTCCACAGCTACGTCCGCTGCTTCTTCCACCGCCACCACCCACGCCGAACTCGCCGCACACCACGCCATCTCTTCCCCCACCCTGTTATTTCTTTCACCACACTCCTCGAAACTACCCTCTCTCCCACGAATCCCAAGGCCTTGGATCCCTCTCTTCTCATGACCCTCCCTACTTTTACTTACTCCGCCACCACCCGCATCAACCCAGCACCGCTAGAGTGCGCCGTGTGTTTATCTGAGTTCGAAGACCAAGACCAAGGCCGTGTATTGCCCAAGTGTAACCACACCTTCCATTTAGAGTGCATAGACACTTGGTTCCAGTCTCAGTCCAATTGTCCACTCTGCAGGGCTCCGGTTCAACCCGATATTCCGCTTCCTAGGCTGGAAATTTCGCCTGAAACGGCAATAACAGTGAATGAACCGGGCTGTTCGGAGCATGAGACGGCTGAAGCTAAAGTGGGTTGCTCGAGATGTTCGCCGTCGACGAGTGGTTCGGCGGAGGAATATGGGAGAAAGCCAATAATGGAAGTGGTGAGTATGTCTGTATCCCGGGAGGAGGAGGTGTCGTATTATCTTAGTCGTAATAAAACAATTAGGGATAGTATTGATGAGAGGTTGAGGAGGGGTTTAGGTTCACCCAAAATTATTAATTACAATGGCTTCAAATCCTCATCGGGCAGTCAGATTCCGTCATTGAAGAGGATTTGGAGCATATAGAGACAGAAACAGAATACCTTATCAATTTGGATTTTTGGTAGCTAGTGTGTGTAATGTGCTAGTGTTAGGGATAGTTTGGCTTTGTGCTTTTAAAAAAAGTTGCTTCTATTATGCTTTTTGTTTATGTTGTGCTTTTAGAATGGGAGCTGATTTTTCCGCTCACATTTTCTCCACTTACACTCTCTTTTACTTTTTAATACTTTTTAATCAATATTTTTCTTTTATGTTCTTTCTCTTTTCTATTCTACCCTTATTCTATATTAAGGTTTTGATAACTATAATTAAGAAAAGTTAACATAAAATAAAAAAATAATAAATTTGGTAGCTAGTGTGTGTAATGTGCTAGTGTTAGGGATAGTTTGGCTTTGTGCTTTTAAAAAAAGTTGCTTCTATTATGCTTTTTGTTTATGTTGTGCTTTTAGAATGGGAGCTGATTTTTCCGCTCACATTTTCTCCACTTACAATCCCTTTTACTTTTTAATACTTTTTAATCAATATTTTTCTTTTATGTTCTTTCTCTTTTCTATTCTACCCTTATTCTATATTAAGGTTTTCATAACTATAATTAAGAAAAGTTAACATAAAATAAAAAAATAATAATTTTGTTTTTGTTTTTGTTTTTGTTTTTGTTTTTGTTTTTGTTTTTGTTTTTGTTTTTGTTTTTGTTTTTGTTTTTGTTTTTGTTTTTGTTTTTGTTTTTGTTTTTGTTTTTGTTTTTGTTTTTGTTTTTGTTTTTGTTTTTGTTTTTGTTTTTGTTTTTGTTTTTGTTTTTGTTTTTGTTTTTGTTTTTGTTTTTGTTTTTGTTTTTGTTTTTGTTTTTGTTTTTGTTTTTGTTTTTGTTTTTGTTTTTGTTTTTGCCTGTTGACGCGTCATTTTTTTGGTTTTTGTTTTTGTTTTTGTTTTTGTTTTTGTTTTTGTTTTTGTTTTTTTGGTTCTGAACGCGTCTTAGTAATTGGCACTTGTATTGTATTGTATACATCAAAACCAAAGTACATATATACACTATTAATGGGCTTGATTTGTGAGAATAGTGGAAAGCATACCGACTTAAGCTATGCCCATCAAACTTGAGCGGCCCGTAAACATGAGAGAGAGAGAGAGAGAGAGAACGGTCATATTGAGCACAAGCTGCTGCATAACCATAGATTGAGTGTTAAAATTGGAGGAACAAAATATAGTTAATTATAAGTGGGTTAAAATGAACGTCCAAGACGCGTTTAGAGATTAGGAGGCTCGGCTCTCTGTCCTAATAAACCGCAACATTGAGAGGTTCTTGTGTATCCCTCCTCGTATTTATATACTCATTCTCCTCTCCCCGTATAATTAATTAATTAAAACCCTTAATTAATCTCCTTCAATTAAAAAAGAACAAGAACAATGAATCCCATTGCAGCAGCAGCATTTGTCTTCCTCTCAACATTGTCTGTGCTACAATTTGTCCTCGTTGCAGGCCATGAAAGTCAAAGCACAAACGGCGGCAGCAAAGCAGGCGTGGTGAATGTGAACCTCATTCAACAAGCATGCCAGCATGCGCCTCAAAAGGACCTCTGCATCAACACCCTCAAGAACGACCCCAACAGCAAAGGAGCTGACCTTACCGGCCTCGCCTACATCGCCATCAGGCTTGCCGGCGCATATGCCTCTGAAGTCGACGCGCACTTGAGATCACTGCTCATAAACAACGCCACCTCCTTATCGCCGGTGGTCCAGCAGGGCGTCGCCGACTGCATTGAGCATTACTCCGACGCCAACGAGCAGCTCGACGACTGCGTAGCCGCCATGTCCACCAAGAACTTCAAGGACGTCGAAGTCTGGGTCAACGTTGCCATTTCTGACGCTGACTACTGCGATAACTCGTTCTCCGGAGAGAAAAGCGTCGTTTTACAGAAGAACGAGGCGTTTCGCCAGTTGTGCAATAACGTTTTGGCCGTCGTCAAGGCCTTGCCACCCCACGGCAAGGAGTGATTATGTACATATGGAATGGATCCACTTTAATTAGTAGCTAGCTAATTGATTAAAAATCATTTATGCAAATTAATATTATAAAATTTTCAATAACAATTGTTGGTTTTATTGGTGAAATGCTTAACGTGTTGTGATCTCATTTCTCGCCAAACTCAGAAGGTGATTATTAATGTCACCACAAAAGTTTGTGGTTTCGTCACCAAGCTGATGTGATGAGCTTTTGATTGATCCTATTCATTCCAGTGTTTCAGATGCGTCTAAGCCAAGATAAATAACGGAAGAGAGTTTTAGGACGTTGGGAAAAATAAACAAAACAGAGTTTTAGGACGAATCGGTTTTGTGACAGAATGCAGTTTCAAACAAGATGTAATGACGTGACTATAAACATATGAAAATATGTTGACAGCCCGTAATCTTAGATTTTTGTGGCAGGAGGAGACGTACAGAAATAAACTGAGATCAATCTTGAATACTCTGCATTATGTGGAAAGAAAGGAATTTTGATATGGCACGTCAGGATAATCCAATCACAAAAATTTCAAAAAACTGAGGCATCTCAATTTGTAATCTGTTGTCCGACACAAAACTGAGTATTGTATTCAATTACGCGTGGCTTGGCATTAAATGCCCTCATTTAAGTATGGAGACTGTTTGAGTTTGACAGTGCTTGATGTCCTCCTGGGCTTATTGACCAGAGCGCCCAACTAGTCATGCTCGTCTGCAGAGGTAGCTGGGACAGAATTCATAGAATGACTGACAAGCCAAAATGACGACCAACCAGTTGGATGTCTATCCATGCTTCAAACCAAAATTGTAAATTTCATCAGGAAAGCTTCTTCTAACATTTGATTGGTGGTTGTTGCAAATAAAGCCAATCAGTAAACAATACAAGAAGTAACCATTTACAATTTAAACTGGTTTTACTATTCTTGGTTCAGAACCAAGTTGTAAATTGGGAATGCTTAATTGGGCATTACATCCTTATTACTTCACTTTTAAAAAATGACAAAGAGAAAGAACAAATGGCCTGCTGAAGTTTCTCAAATTAAGCCACCAGTGTAGGGCACCCCTGTTTGAGGCAACCAATCATCCCCCAGCAAGAAATTGGTCACAGTGAAATTAGCAGCATCGGTAGCATTAATCACATGGTAACCTGGCCATGTAACTCTGCTTGTAGTGTTTGATCCGGGGCCGGTGTTGTTATACTCTGCATAATACAATGTGCTGAGAGCAAACTCTCCATCCCATGCCCGCCAACCAGCAGGATCCACCACACTATCAATGTAAGATTGCATATAAACTGTCCTTGAATATTCCTTCCATGGCCTTCCCAGATAAGTCTTGGTACTGCTGTTGCTCGAAGCCAAATCGTCAGCTGCCCTTATAGTACAATTGTGAATCGAAGTGCCCGTGTTTTGATTCGGATCGGTTCGACCCTGAGCTGTGATGGCATTGAATTGGCCACTCATTGGCAGCCTGGGATATAAGTTGCAATTTTGGAAAACAACTGCAGCATTTCCAAATATGAAGTCTACTGTGCCATAGATGTCGCATTCTCTATAGAATTGCCTCAGGGAATGTGTGTATAAGGTGTCTTGGTACGCTTCGAAGCTGCAGCTATAGAATGTGGACAGATCAGCCCCGTTTCGAACTGCAACCGCTTGGTGCTTGATTGCTCCCGCAGTGTTACGGAAGGTCATGTTCACTGCTACAAATCCAGGTGCAGTTACAGCTGCAATATTCATGTACAAATTCTAGTAAGATACTAATAAGCATGTTTGATATGTATAAGATTCAAGCATATACACAATCAAATGGTCCTAATTAATTTGGAGTCTTTTAATTTGTTGTAGTTTAAGACTTACCAAATGTTGCAGAGTTGAAAGTTGTCCACCCATCAACGACGCTTCGGTTGCCGGTGAGAATGGTCTGGTTGATGCCGTCCCCGACCATCATCAAATACCTCTTATTTTTAGCAATGGAGACGTACTCTTCATAAACCCCGGCGGTGACATAGATCAAGAAGTAGCCGTCAGTTGAGGCAGAGTTGTTTGGGGCTGCAGCAATGGCGTCATTGATGGTGGAGAAGTTTCCGGTTCCATTCTGGCTCACCGTCACGACTTCACTCACCAAAACCCCATCATCCTCCGTCTCCGTTTGAAGCATCTTTCTCTTGGTGATGCCCTCGTAAACGGCACGTGTTCGGCTCGACATTTTGAGCGGCAGGCGTCCGTTTTTGAAGCCACTCTGCTTCCTGGTGGGCTTCCACGTTTTGCTCATCTTCTTCTTGGGCACCCAACCCTTGGTGAAAAGGGCAAGGGAGACGCTGTAGAACTTGGTGTCGTTGGGTGCAGAGAGGCCAGTTTTCAAACTCCAAGCAGAAGCGGTGGATTGAATGCCGTCCAAACAGGTTTGCTGGTTCGTGAGAATGGCACTAAGAGAAGTTTGGACGTCGTCTGCTTTGAGATTAGAGAGAGTGTTGTTAGTTTTATTGACCATTTCAAAACTGTTTAGCAAAAAGTCCATGTTGAGCCCGGCAAGCAACCTGCAGTCTTCGAGAGCTCGGACTGCGATCAAGGACAAACTGGACCGGCGTTTAAGATATTTGTCGACTAAGTTTAAGAATTTACGGGACTGAGATAACGATTTCCGGACCGAGAACCGGCCGTAGTAGTAAACATTTCCAGCAGTTTGGTTGTGAGGAAGCACAGATTTACAAAAAGAAGGGTCAGGGGTGGACTTGCAAATGGTGCCTGCAGAGACTGGGGTTGAAGAGTTATCTGCAGCCAAAGATAGAGAGGCAAATAAAGGAACAAGGATGAAAAATGAAGCTACGATGAGCTTAGAATAAGCCATTGGATTTGAAATGGAATTGGAAAATCAATGTATGCTATTAGTGGAATGGAATAGCTACGTTATGGGTCGGGTTCAAATATATAAAGGGGGTCGAGACGAGAGGGAGCTGAATATATTATTGGCTTATTACTTAATAATATGGTCGTTGGAGTAAATTAACAAAATTTGGTGGGTACTTGTATTTATTTATGAGGTCAACTCAATTGGGAGACTTTGTACAATGCGCGTTTTGATCTTGGACTTGATGTTATTGGGTTGGGAGAATAGTATGAAACAAGCTGTTGTGCAAATTTTGATTTCCGGGTTCTCTGTGTTATTGTTTACATTTCTTGGTGAAACTTACTTTCTTAATGAAGATGAGCAAAACTTCATGAAACATATTTCATACTCTTTTCTTCTTATTTCAGATGATGAGTTTTCCTCGTTCATCATCACGCTGTGAAATGGGAAAAGGGGCTACTGAGTTTAGAGGAAAATTAAAGAAATAGAAAAGCAATTAAGAAGATAGTGCAACAAATCCTTTTCTTAATTCCCTTCCTTTGAGTTTGAATTGACAGTGGCTGATTTGGTAATCAATTGGTTTAACACTTGGATACAATGGTGCCATTTGTCAACGGTGGGGTAGGTGCCAGCCTGATTGGTGACATCGAAAGGTAATCAATCTCTCCAGATTTATATGTAAAAATAACTTTCTTCCAGATTTTGTCTCTTTAAGAATTTTCAATTCTATATTCTTCTGGTAGTGGGTGTAGTTTTAAATTCGATGGGGAAATTATTGTCAACTAAACCCACAAGATATCATCATCCTGCCGCGCTTAACATTGCAATATATGGATTAACGTAATTAAATTATGAAATAAAAAAGTTTAATTAGTATGCATGTCGCAGTGTAGATATTTTATTCTTGACGAATTATAATAGACTAATCAATACAAGGAGAAAAGAAGAAAAGTTTATTGGAATTCCATTGGTGACGGTGGATTTTGACTAGATTTTTCTATGGTACGTTATATTGACAAATGACGACGGTGTGTTAGGAAGTATGCATGTATTCAAGGGCATCAAAGGCAATGTATGATTTGGTTTAAACAATCATGGAAGGACAGACGTTTCTCACTTACTTCCTAAAATCCTTGTTGGCCAAAAACAAAACCACTCAATGAATCAAAGGGTAAATGATGCAGCGGGGGAACGCAACAAGGCAATCAAACGATTAGTAAATATTTGATTGTCTTTGCGTGTGCGACGTACCAACTCTTCTTCTATCACCTCCTCAGTCATCTGTTCTACATAAATAAACATTTAATTTTCTAATTAATATTAAGCATGTAGCATTGTAATTAAGGAAATTAAGATCTAATAAGTTTTTTAGACAATTTGGACATGTTACATTGTTCAATGGACCATTCAAAGAAGCATCCAATCCTTTGGACCAAAAAAAACAAGCATCCAAACCCAAGCATACAAAGTCGCGGAGGTCATTATTCATGTTTAATTTCCTTGGGTCTTTGGGTCGTCTCTTCACTACAATGACTTGCTGAGCTAACGAACAAGTCATATAATTTAAGTTTGACTGGAAACATATGCATGCATTCTGTAACCGCGTGGATCCTGTTTGGGTCTCGTAGACTGACATATATATATATATATATATATAAAGGGGAGGGTGGACGCAGACAGAGCATAGTTTTGCCCTACCTTACAAGTTACAAAGTTAGGTTTGTATATATATATGATATATATGAGTGAGTAATGAAGTCAAAAGAGTCGAACTTACATTCCCAGTTAAAACCTTCCCTTTCAATGCGGAAACATGTCATGTGGATGTGGTAGCTACTGGCTAAGCTAAGCATGCTGCAAATGGAATGAAGCTTCCTGCTTCCTCAATCTAAAACCCTAACTTTTAATGTTTAATTCCACTTGCTTGCTAATTAAAATTAAACTCATCATAATAGTAATCATGGTTTCCAGAGGCTAAGATCTTAGACCAAGAATATTTTCCATACATACTCATACTCGGATCATTTTTAAAAACTGTACTGTAATGAAGCTACAGTCATTATAAAATGCTGAGGAGATATATATAGTCGTTACTACGTATACATTCAAACTAGGACAACACATCCACGTATTATCATTTGGTATTGCGGCTTTGAATTCGAGCCCTTAAAATGTTGGCTACATTTATTATATATGGGCAGCGTGCACGTTTTTGCAAGCTCTATCTAACTCATAAATTTCTCCACGAGTTGTT